GGTAGCCCAGGCTGGCCTCGAACTCACAGAGATCCGCCTGGCTCTGCCTCCCAAGTGCTGGGATTAAAGGCGTGCGCCACCACCGCCCGGCGGGAACATTATTTTGACTTGGGTTAATAATAACACAAGAAAAAAGCAAAAGGAGGAAGTGACTCTGGATGAGTAAGGAATGGGGAAATGAGCAGTGGTGAAAAGAAGATTAAACCTGGAAATCCGGACAAGGAAAGACTGAATCCACGAATGTCCAGTTAAAACAAGCTGTATTTTGAGGTGTACCCAGGACTGGCCAGAGGCTTTCTCACCCTATTGAGATTTGAGAGAGCATCCCCTGTTGGTCTCTTGAGGTCCTTTTTGTAGTTGGTTGTTACATTTTGTTATATTTTATTAGAAAGATACAATGGAAGGGAAGGAACATGGGTAAGTATATACATCATGTGAATAGAGTCACAAGTTTAGTGTAGGTTGGGAAACATATTTTGCAGCTTACATCAGATCTAAGAAACAGGAACTTATTCCTAATTACAAACTGAAACCTTAACTTACTCTTTAGCTACATTAACTGCAAATAGAACTCTTAACCTGCAAAGTATATTTTCCTATTTTGAACTTGCAGTAGTGGTGGATGAGCATGGTCAAAATGCATTGTATAACCATATGGAACTTAAATAAAACAATAACAAAAAACCATACATAAACATGAAAATGTCTTTGGAACAGAGCACTGATAGTCCTTTTTCTCCAGACTCTGAAAATGGAGTTAAAGACAGAAAAGATGATGAACAAACTTTATCAGAGCAGATATCCACTTTCTCTCTGACAGGTAACACCCCCAAACCCTTTTGTTTCAAGGGGTCTTATCACTGGCGAATGGGGTCACAGGCTCCCTGCTCTACAGCAGAGACCATTTCACTGAGACTTGGAAAGTTTGGGTTTTTCTCCAACTCCACCACTAGAAAGTCTCTCAAATACTTGTTCTCTACTTCTCTTCAGAATTCACAAAAGAAAAAGAAGATGAAGAAATGAAGGACGATATTGGAGTGGCCCCTGCATCACATCCACTACTAACAGGTAATGTCAATCCCAAGATACATGCAGACACTACTTGTGATAAAGTGGATTTTAAGTCTTTATTGGTTACAGGACTAGGACCACAGCCAAGAAGGTCATACAGCAAGGCCATCATTATCACTGACATGTGTCCTGATAGCCCGTATTTTAAAATGATGTTAATAATAACTTTACATTTATAAAACACTAGGGATTTCAGAAAATACTAGCACAAATAAGATATGGTTAAGCATGTGAGTATACGGTGTTTTAAAATTTATATGTAATATATATAATATATATTATATATATTATATATAATAATATATAATATATAATAATACTAATAATATATATAATAATATATAATATATTATATATATATACATATATATATATATATAATTACCTAACATGGTATGAGTCACACATTCCTTGTGTTCACCAAACTGATGAACTGATGGTGTTCATTAAGGAACTGCACTAGTCTAGAAGGAGGACCAATAGTGCTGTGTAAATGATTTATTTTCAGAAGTTCTTAACAAACTAAGGAATAAACCTTTGCGATTTTTTATGTTTGTATGCTTATGTCTTATATTACATGAAATATAAAATTGCTGTTGTCAATATTTGGTTTGCATAACTGTAAGAAAAATAGATCAAGATCACAATTCCCTTACCAGGGAGTTTATAATTTAGTGAGTGCTGATATACAATAATCATGTAAGAAGGATATGCACTCAGATGTTTAGCCAAGTCCACCCCCACTGAGAAGATATGCTAGTATATAACTGAAATGTGTAAAGGGAATTGTGCAAAGCTGTCGAGCAAATCAGGAAGCCCCAAGACAGGAATGAACTTGGATGTCATATGCCCATCTGGAAGGCTATCATGACTGTGAAATAGGAAACTAAGAGTGAAATAAGTAAAGCTGTAAGTTCAGAAATGGATGATTTCTTGCATTTAGAGACCAGAAGACTCACTACCCTTTGGGAAATCAAAGAAATAAGAGCAAATATTTTCAAGAAATTGAAGAAATCAAGTCATTGGCAATGAAGTACTTTTTCCTTTGTCTACTGCCAGATTCTGGGAATACAAAGATAAAACTTTTTTTTTCTATTTTTAAGTTTATAAACAATAAGCACAAAAACATGGAAGAATTCATGTGATTTTTATGGGAAAAGGAAAGAAATGTTCACATGGCCTGGATGTGAGGATGCATATTTTACAATAGCTAGAATTTTAACAATGTCTTAGACTGACATAGGCTTCCTGTCACTGGTATGGTCTGAAGGGTAGTAAAAGGGTAGAAAATTGAAATATCAACTTCTAATATAAATAAACTAAATGAAACTAAACTTCCTTACAAAGTTTAGATCCCTGTGATTCTAATATGTTGAATCTGAAAGTCTAACCAAAGTCACAAATACTAGAAAAATACAAAATTGGCAGGGTCAGTGTTAAACATAAATAAAAAGGAGGAAAAATCAAGACTTTGGTTTCTGTCCTTTTACATGTGAAAAGTTGTCCTCCTTTCAGTACAGTTTTCTGAGGAACAGCAGTTGAGCACTTCAGAACAATAAACATGTGGCCAGCACGTGTGCCTGACTGGGGGCTGTTTCAATTCTTTGGTTCTGTTTTCTCTTTTAGCTCCTCAGGAAATCCAGAGCACAGAAGCCCATGATACACTGCAACTTTGTCCTCGAGATCAATTCTATAAGATGAAGACAGAAATGGCAAAAGAGGTGATGAGCTTTGGAAGCAGGGGGCTGGAGTTACCCTAGTTAGACCATGTGTATTTTTTTCTATTTCTTATAACGGATCTCTACAGATCAGACAAAGAACATTGGACTTTATCAAGTGATATTCAACTTAGATTTCCCATTTTTAAATCTCATCTTAGAATACGTCCTTAAATCCACCCCGCCACATAATCCAAGCCATATCACTAGCCAAAATTAATAACATACTCAGGCCCTAGATATGTTTTCAGTCTCGAATCTTACCATTTCATCAACCGAACATAACTCCACCAGCAACATTCTGTTCACTATAATTATTTTTTGTCAGCTTTGTTTAGATTTTGGAGGCATGAGGAGGGCCTTGATCAAATTACTCTGTGTCTGTTAACTTCAGATATATCCAGTGATGGAGAAGGAAGGCCGAACACGCTTGGCTCTCATCATCTGCAACAAAAAGTTTGACTACCTCCTTGATCGAGATGATGCTGAGGTTGATATTTTGAACATGCAAGAGCTACTTCAAAACCTTGGATACTCAGTGGTGCTAAAGGAGAACCTTACAGCTCAGGTAAGCCGTGAGCAGAGAGCAGATCAGCCTTCCCTGAGCTATTTTCAGCCTCACTTTTGGTAGCAACAAGAACAAATATGTCAGAGTACAGGAATTAGATCTGTTCCAGGATAGGATTTACTGGGTTTCTACTGTTTCTAAAGCATAGTCTCAGAGAATATTCACATAATGCCTGTGCAATATTATTTCAGCAAGACAGGGGTCTTTCTTAAGTGCTGGCCAAGTGTCTCTATTACCTGTTGGTCTGAGGGAGGCAAGAAAAAACACATATGACTTTAACAACGTCAGAACAAAATGTCTAATTATTGAGAGTTAAAAAAAACTCTTGGGGTTTCAGTTCTATCTAAAGCAATCAAGGTGAATTTAGTTAAAGAATGTAATACTTGATTATTGTTTGGTATCAAGGAATTTCATATTTTCAATTTTTATCAGCATAAGCTTTTCTGTCTGCCTCTCCTTTTAATGAGAATTTCCCAAAAACCAATTGCAATAGATTTGGCTTTGATTATATTCCATCTCTTAGATCCAAGATCCTTTTTAATTCCATAGGACTATAAACTATCTAAAACAAGAAAATTTCACTAATTTTCACATCTTGTGCATATATTTTTATTTCTTTTACAACCGTACATGGCACAGACCACTCAATTCTAGAAATTATTTTATTTTTTCTGAACTTCCTCTGTTATCCGGATACAAACTGTGTGAGGAATGTGCTTGAGAATGACTCCAGAGTCTTTTCAGGAGATGGAGACAGAATTACGGAGGTTTGCCAGCCGTCCGGAGCACCAGTCCTCTGACAGCACCTTCCTGGTGTTCATGTCCCACGGCATCCTGGAAGGAATCTGCGGGGTGAAGCACAGAAACAGAGAGCCGGACGTTCTTCATGATGACACCATCTTCACAATTTTCAACAACTCTAACTGCAGGAGTCTGAGAAACAAACCCAAGATCCTCATCATGCAGGCCTGCAGGGGCAGTGAGTCTGAGTTGGGCTCTAGGGTGTGGTTCTGAACTTTCTTCTATGAGTCTGGCATGTTCTAGAAGATAAATAAGGGGAACATTTTAGTGTTGATGGTGTGTTCGGTACAAAAGAACTATCTTATGTCCTATGTTTCAAACGAATAACAAGTAGCCTAGAAAAATAAGAAACGTCCCAGTCATTTGTCAACATTATTGTTCTAGGCATGATGGGTATTGTATTGTTCTTGGTCAGTGGGAGTTTCTTTAATAGTAAGGTATTTTGGGGGCTGAGGAGATGGCTCAGTGAGTAAGAATGCTCACTCTGCAAGAACCAATCCTAAGAACCTATGTGAAAAGCCAGAGATAGCATGTATTCACATAACCCCAGGACCACAGAAGGTAGAGACAGGCAGATTACTGATGCTTGTTAGCTACCAGGTTAGCGTCAGGTTAAGTGAAAAACACTGCCAAGAGAATAAGTTGAAGAGTGGTAAAACAAAATAATTGACATCATTCTTTTGAGCCTCCGAGTGTACACACTGACATGGATAACTGGCACTCACATATGTACACGCATCCCCTCCATACAAAACATGTGCACATAGATATTCACATTTTCAATAAAATCATCATGTAATGTGCCAAATGAAAGTATAATGGCAACAAATACACTTTATCTCTGTGGAGTGTGTGTGTGTATGTGTGTGTGTGTATGTGTGTGTGTGCACGCGCTCATACATGCATACATGCATGCATGTGTTACATTTGTTTAAGAAGTGCATTCTCTCCTAGGACATAATGGAATTGTTTGGGTATCCACAAGGAAAGGGATAGCCACTGCTGATACAGATGAGGAGAGTGTGCTGAGCTGTAAATGGAATAGGTGCATAACAAAGGCCCACGTGGAGAAAGACTTCATTGCTTTCAAATCTTCTACCCCACGTAAGTGAGCTCAGATGTTCTAAATCTGTTAGTAGTGTTTGTATACAGTATGTTTGGCTGAGCTCATATACTTTCAGTGAACATTCTGTGTCTAATTATTGGAAAGGTTTCAATGGTAAAGAAATTTAAAGTATTTGGATTATCATAATTAGATTTGCTTAGAAACTTTCAATGTAAACAGGTTGTTTTGTGGAATCCAAGATTCAGATATTGTAACTATAAAAAAAGTGAATGATATTTTATTTTGACTTGCTTTTAAAATATATCAGTGACACATCAATCCATAACATTCTCTGTGATTTCCCCAAACTGAATCAGTAAAAACGGCTAGGTCCACAGCAAACACTATGGTAACTCTTAACCTACTATTTTAATGTAATCTGGGAAATTAGTTAATTCTTAAGTGTCTGCCTTCACATTAACATAGTCAACAAATGACCAATGCCCTCCCTGGGACAGGGAAACTATAATAAAGGTGACAGACAGCCCAGAAACAGCTCATTCCCAGTAGCTGATAGTCAGTATAGCCGAACATCATTTTTTAAGCAGTCTATAACAGGGTTCTATCAAGGATTCAGAGAGCAAGGCACCTTTAGACAACAAGTTAGCACAAATCACAGTTCCTTTGCATCCACATTCTGTGATTAAAAGGTCTAAAGTGTGTAGGAATTATTTGGAGATGTTGATATGCAGATGTCTGGAATGAGCCTGGACACGTGACCTTTCTAATAAACGTGGTGATGTATCTGCTGCTGATCCATGACCATGTGTGAGCTGAGAGATTACCAGACTCTCCGAGTGTAAACTAGAGAATAAAGGCTGCACACAGTGGCCACCACAACAAGATGAGGCACACTTTCATTTGTTTTATGTATTGCAATTCTAATGAGATTTTATTTGAAACAAAAATTCTATCCTTTAACTGACAAAAGGAACTAAAACTTTTATATGATCTAAAAAGAGTACTGGAAGACTGTTTAGTAGTGGAAATAAAGTCTAGTACACAAAGTTATTTTGTTAAGATTATGTATTCAAAACACTGTGCTAGAATTGGGCTAATAAAAAGCACATTTCCATAATGAAAGCACATGTGGACATTGACTTTGAACTAATGCAAGCTTGCGGGGTAGATATTAACTGGAAGGGAAAACATGAGTACATTGTAACAGAAACAGTGATAGGCCCTTGCATTAGATGCTATAAAGGGATATTTGGCTCACAGGATAAAGAGGTTATCCACCTCAAAAGAGAGAGGATATTCTACATGGTATAAACAGAGTCTATGGAGGACCTAAGAAAAGCCTGGTGGAAAAGACAAGGTTTCATCAGCACAGAATCAAGAAAGAGGCTGGAGACAGAGGCAGGCATCAGATAAGGGAAGGCCTTAGATGAACTTTTATGGTAATAGCTTTAGTGAGGTTTAAACAATGAGATGATGCAGATCTAACTCTGAAATGAATGAATGCAGTACAGTGAGAATGGATGCAGCGAGGCAGGTCAGACTGCAATGAGAGTACTGCGACCCAGAGATGATGATTATAATGTGGGGTGAACAAGTCAACGGCTCCAGTAATTAGTAATGTAATCAATATGACTCATTAGTTTAGTTGATTTGATTGGGGAAAGATGGGGAATATGGAGATTACAGTATTCAAGAAGATGATTATGGTAAATTTATTTAAAAGGATATTTTATTTTCCATAAATAGTGTACTATCCTGTTTTATAGCATGCTGAATTATATTTAGCAGAAATCTATATGGAAGGATATATTACAAATATGTTCTGATACTTTACAAATTAAAAGGTTGACCAATGTGACTGCTTTAAAGGGGAAAAATTAATTATGCAAGTTTGAGATGGTCATGGCATAGCTTGGGATGAAACTATCAATAAAGAGTTACACTCTTGTATATTTCACAGAAGACATCTGCCAGAAAGGTCAAGTTTGGGGATTTTAAGTTGTCAAAAAAAAATTTACAATCCTAAAGATGAATAAGAACAACAGGAAATAGAAAATAGTTAGACAATTCTTGGAGTGAGGATGAACAACCTCTTGGAAATGAAGACTAAAGATGGAAAGGCTAGCCAGTGTGCTTGACTCATCAGGCTAGAGGAAGACCAGGAGAATGGATTCCGGAGCTATTAGTAAGGCTGTCAGAGATGACAATTTCTAATAGGAATGATGGACCAGGTGCAGGTGAGGCCTAATAAGTGAGGTTGATTTAGGGATTTGGAAATCCTGGGTGACAGGGTGCAGTTCTGTTTTGTAGTATTGGTAGAAGATCTAGGAGGGAGAAGCCAGGCAGGAGTGAGCAGAATCATGTGGAAGGGAGCTGCCGAAGACAAAGTTTGAGCACAACAGAGGAACGAGGCAACAAATGAGTGCTGGCTAAGTGGCCATTAGAAAACGGCCACTCTGCTTTAAGAACAGAAGCTTAGATCAAGTGGCAGAGCGAAGGTCTTCCTATGGAGATTGCTCAAAGGGAAAAATAAGTGCAAAAAATTTCCCCAGGAGGCAAATGGGGTGAAGAGGCAGGGAAGAGAGGACTGGTTTGAGACGGGAGTTTTTCTCTATCATGAAGTTGGTACTAGAAGGAATCTGCTCTTTTCCAGGACTTGCTTGCTGGAGGCTGTTCATTCGGCCTTGCCTATTAAAAAACCCATGTGGTTTTATGACATGGGTCTATACAGGTTTCCTATTCATCTTTTATGGGACACCAAGGTCTCAGCTTTACTCAGCTGTGGCCTCTTGTCTTCTGCGAATCACCCAAGAATACTTCGTTCCTAAACTGTGGTGTCAGGAGTACATCATCTTTCACCATTCCCATGCTTCTCTTTGCAGATAATATTTCTTGGAAGGTGGGGAAGAATGGCTCTCTCTTCATCTCCAAACTCATCGACTGCTTCAAGAAGTATTGTTGGCGTTATCATTTGGAGGAAATTTTTCGAAAAGTAGGAGTTTGTTTTAGTCTTTTATGTCCTTGACAACTGAGAAAAGTCACATGCCAAGAGCCATAAATGGTTTTATCTTGATGCTACTAATTACATCCCAATTTATCTCATGAATAATTTTCTAGAATACCACATACAAACAATACTTGTTTTTCCAAAGCCTTCCTATTTGTACAGCCTTGACTTATCACTTTTCATAAAGTACTAAGTCATTCTGTCTGCACAGTATTCAAGAAAAAGCTACATATTCCTTCTAATATACTACCCAGTCACAATCTTAACGTACATGATGAGAATCTTTTTTCCCTTTTTCTGTGAATAGCAGCAAAAGAACTCCCCTTCTTAGGAGATCTCTAAGGACTTTCTTCATCACTGCAGGTTCAACATTCATTTGAGGTCCCAGGTGAACTCACTCAGATGCCCACCATTGAGAGAGTATCCATGACACGGTATTTCTACCTCTTCCCTGGCAATTAACACAGGTAACACACGTGCAGGTACATGTATGTGGGGAGTGGATTTGCAAACCCTTTTCCAGTTGGTACAGAAAATCTGACTAGGATGAAAAGTGATGGTGACACACCAGCTTCCTCTTACTGAAGCATTTCTTTAATGAAAAAAAAAAAACCTTGATTTTATTTGTTTTCAGCTACAGTGTAGTTATTGAGTGAGAAATTATTAGTCTTCTGGTAGTCAAATGGAAACCTACTGAGAGTTAACATTTTCTCTCTAGAACTCAATCAGTGAAGGGAAATATTTGGTTTTGATGCACATACAGCATTCTGTAAATGGAAGCTATGTACATGAATTATCTCTTCTGAAGAAGCCGGTTTGTTGAGCTACATACTTTATGTTTGAGATGAGGACAGTCTGAGTCACCCTGTAGACTGAGAAGGCATTGTCAGAACTATGCTGAGATAGCCAGTGTCTACTGACCACACTCCCTCTGAGGGATATATACAGCCCATATCCTTTCTGACAATATATTTCTAACTTCAGAGACCATTCTAGTTGTATCTTAAATCCAGTACAGTAATGATCTATGCATGTTCCTCTCTACCTTTTCAAGTGAACAGATTATAACAAAAAAATTGTTCTTTAAGAAACTAATTTTCCATCAAGAAGTTCAGAACCAAGCTCTCAGTCTATTGAATTTCCACAAACATCAGGACTAAAAATAGAATCACAAGTAGACCAGTGAGCAAATAAATCCAGAGAGACTATATACCTTTCTCATTTTATAAGAGTAAATCATACTCATTACAAAACAAATATGAGTCAGACTTTTAAAAATAATAAGGAAATAATCACTGCCAAAGTTTTTGAAAAAAATATATTTGTAAAAAAATTCACTTTTATTCAATTTTGTCTGTTATTTTTTGTTATTTCCTTTAATAATGGTAATGCAATGTTTCCTACAGTTTTGATTTTCACACACCTGTTAAGCATACACAACCCGTCATTGCCTCTGACCTTACTTGTAGAGTTGTATTTATTATTTAATTCATACACACATTTTAAAAGTGATATTTTTATGTCTTTATTTTTGTTAACAAAAAGTTAATTTTCTCAAAATATATGTCTAAAATCAAATCAATGTATTTAGATACATTTCTATGGACCTTTATAAATTAATACCACAAAATGATGAGAAACTATACATATACATATATATATATGTATGTATATGTATAAAACTATATAACTATATAAATATTTGGAAGTTTTCCTGTATCTCACCCAGTCCTCAGCCGCTCAGACCCAAATAAACACACAGAGGCTAATATTAATTATGAACTGTATGGCCATTAGCTCAGGCTTATTACTTATGAGCTCTTACATTTAAATTAACCCATAATTCTTATCTATGTTTAGTCATGTGGCTTGGTACCTTTTCTCAGTTCTGCCTTCACATCTTGCTTCATCTGTGTCTGGCTGGTGACTCCTGACTCAGCCTTCCTCTTCCCAGAATTCTCCTAGACTGCTTGCCCCACCTATACTTCCTGACTGGCTACTGGCCAATCAGCGTTTTATTAAACCAGTGTACAAGAGGATTATCCCACAGCATTTCGCTTTTTTTTGTTTAAACAAAAAGGAAGGTTTTAACTTTAACATAGTAAAATTACATATAATAGAAAGAAAAGGGGGAATGATGGGTGATAACATTCTGTATGCTGTGATTACGTGTTGCTCTGATTGGTTGATAAATAAAGCTGTTTGGCCAATGATAAGGCAGAATAAGGTTAGGCAGGACATTCTAACTAGAGAGAGAGGAAGGAAAAAGAAAGAGCAGAGAGAGACACTGCTAGCTGCCCCCAGGGGAAGCAAGATGTACAGATACTGGTAAGCCACAAGCCACATGGTAAAGTATAGATGTATAGAAATGGATTAATTTAAGATATAAGAGCTAGCTTAGCAAGAAGCTTGCTATGACTATAGTTTAAAAAAAAAAAAAAAAAAGGTGAGGCAAGCAGACTAGGAGAATTCTGGGAAGAGAAAGGGCTGAGTCAGGAGAGTCATCAGCCAGACACAGATGAAGCAAGATGACAAGGCAGAACTGAGAAAAGGTACCAAGCCATGTGGCTAAACATAAATAAGAATTATGGATTAATTTAAGTGTAAGGGCTAGTCAGTAATAAGCCTGAGCTAATGGCCAAGCAGCTATAATTACTATAAGCTTCTGAATGATTATTTTATAAGCAGCTATGGGATTGCAGGTCCTGGAAGGACTGGAAAAAACTCCAACACACACACACACACACACACACACACACACACACACACACACCAATAGATAGAATACTTACATACATCTAATAGTAATGAAAAGTTGTGGAATTCACTGTCACACTATTTATTAATCACTTGGCTTCTTTGACACCAGTTCCAGGTGTGAAATGGTTATGCCAACACCTTACTCCACAGGTTGATGTGTTCATGGCAGGCCTCTGCTATACTGCTGGGTATTTGGACAATTGCTCACTGTAAAAGCTGTTACCATTGTATGTACTGACTTGCCTCTCAATGGTGAATGCCATGCCATGTTGTTAATGAATATCTTCATTAGTCATATGTTGTCTATACTCTCCTTAGTTATTCTGATTTTGTATGCTCTTCCAGCTAATTTTTATAACAATCTTAAAGATTTTCACAGTTGCTAAGAAGTTTTAGTGGCATTTGACTGTGTAGGACTGTGCTTTACTAATTCATTGTTACATTTCCCTTTTAATTTTTAATCAGGAGTTTTATATTTATATTTTTATAAACTTTTCAAATATTTAAAAAAGAATATCCCTAGGCTATTTTATTTTGTCATAATATTAAAATAAGTTTTGTTTGTTTTTGTTTTCCTGCATAGTTTCCAACCAAGTATTGCTGTGGGTGAGAAGAAAAGAAAATACAAAGACTCCTGAATTGTTAAATGCATAAAACCTTTCAATTAGATGTTATATAGAATATCATAAATCTAGGTAATTTTCCACAGGTTTTTCTTGAGGGGGGACTGATATGTAAACATTTGCATGAAAACTATAGATTAGTTTCCTATTTCCAAATCTTTACACATTTTATTTCATTTTATTAAATCTCATATTCACAATCTCTATAAATTGAGTGAAAAAGGAACAAATCAAAGAGCACCTGGACATGACCTTTTGGTAGTGTAGGAACCACATAATTGGAATTTACTCACAAAGCAGATCTTATCTACAATGGAGTTGAGAATCAAAGTGTCTCCTGTACATAGGCAAGCTAAGAGTCATAGTCCTATAGGAACAAGATAAGGGAGAATGATGTCCACTGCTTACCTCTGTCATACATGGTTTCCATGTCTAGTGGCTGCCTAGCATTCCTTATAATTGGTTTGTTAGGATATACTTTACAAATTTGGGTTATTTATACATTTGTTATATTAAGTATTTTTGTAATAAAAATATCCTCAGACACATACATTTAAATTTCTGTCTGTTAGTATTATTGGGAAAAAACTTTCAAAACAGAAGTTACAGGATTAAAAACATTAAGAGTATGATGATATTTTATTTGTGCTGAAATGTTTTGTATTTTGTATGATAATAAGTTTGCCTGGAGATGAAAGGGAATAGCAAGCCATTTTCAAGTAAACATAAAAGTCAGGCAGTGGTAGCACACGCCCTTAATCTGATCACAGGGCAGGCAGAGTCTCTGTGTGTTCAAGGACACACTAGGGAACAGCCAAGTGTGGTGACACACACCTTTAATCCCAGTACCAACCATAGATACCTGGAGATCTGTACAGACAGGCAGTGACAAGAAAGTGAGGTAGCTGGGCTAAGAGCTAATGAGAGGGCAGAACAGCGAGGCAATAAAAGCTTGGGTAGACAGGAAGTAGCTCTCTTGGGAAGCTATGGTGATGTGGTGAGTTAAGGCTAGCTGGTGGCTTTCACGATTTCCCTGATCTCTAAGACTTTCACCCCTATATTTGGCTCCGTGTTTCTTATTTAGTAAGACCATTTAGAAATTTGTCTACATAAGGGTAATTTTTGAACACAAGATATTGTGCAAAACACTGCAAATTTGTGTTCTTCAGCAGCAGGATGTGACAAAGCCTACCTATCTCTACTTTGCCCAATCTTGAGAAGGTTGCATTATTATTTTCATTTCACTGAGCCAAAAATAAAATCAGTGTTTATTATTTGCCTTATAAAATGTTTAAAGATCTTTATGTATACTCTTCGGTCATTGTCTGTGCATTAAATGTTAGCCTGTGCCTCTTGGGGGATACAAGTTCTATATAGGTATGGTTTGAAGTTGTAGGAGGCACCCTTGGTCACCACCATGCCTTAAACCTTACCAGAATTGTGGTCTCTCTTCTGACATGCCCTCTAACAATTCTATATTCTAAATGGTCCTTCTAAAATTACAGACTATGTTTAATCTGCACCTATCAAAAGCATCTCCTGAGCAATGCTGAATAAGGCTCTGGTGGTCTTTGCAATCTTGCCTCTTTACATTTGCTTCACTTGACTTCCTCAGGATCTCCAACATAGCTTGTCTTTGCCATTTATTTGTTCATATCTTCTCACAAGAACAAATCTCCATAAGGGATCTTCCTTTTCTTTTTCCTGGGTTGGGGGGGGTGTTCAAGACAGAGTTTCTCTGTATAGCTTTGGCACCTTTCCTGGAACTCACTCTGTAGCCCAGGCTGGCCTCACAGAGATCTGCCTGCCTCTGTCTCCCTCCTACTGGGATTAAAGGTGTGGTCACCACTGCACAGTGGGATCTTCCTTTTCTTTGTTATGCTATTCAGAGTGCTTAACACAGTGCCTGTCAGAGAGAAAACTCCCTAACTCTTAATTAGAGAAGAATATTAATGTAGAGAGCATTATATGGTTTATTACATATTGAGATTTTAGTAGACTTTGTAAGTACTCTTAAATTACTAAATTAAGTTACTTTACTTGAGGATTTCTTAAAAACTATTTTGTCAAATATATTCATTTTCCCCTTGATTTTTCTTGGGAACTATTATGTGTCCAGAATACATAATCTACCCTTTTATTCATGGTTCCTAAACTTCCCTTCAAAAGCAGAGCTTGTATATTAGTTAATGTAATGGAGGTACAGAGTAAACAAGGCTGGTACATGTTTGACTTAAACAGAGATGTTCAACATAAGATACCTAAATGTGTTGAGCTATAAACTGAGCTGAAGAATCTTGGTGCAGTACCATTCCTTTTTCTAGATCAACCATTCTATCTCCACATTCACCTTTATAAGATAGACCCTAAATTTGTAACTTCATTCTCTTGCACCCTGTATGTCAAACTAATGGCTCAATCTGCCCATTCTACTTTTACATGTCCTCTCTTCCTATTCCTGCTTACTGCTGAGGTCACATGTGGTTTATTTCTCATAATCTTACCATTGCTCAGCCCAGTTCCAGATTGCTGCTATTGTTTCTTTGTTTTGTTTTGGTTTTTTGAGACAGGTTCTCACTGTGTAGCCCTGGCTGTCCTGGAACTCACTTTGTAGACCAGACCAGCCTCCAACTCACAGATATCTGCTGTGGAATGTTTGTTTACACTGTACAATGTGTCTTTGCCAAGGTGTCTTCTGACTGATTTAATAAAGAGCTGAAATGCCAATAGCTAGGCAGAAGAGTTTAGGCAGGACTTCTGGGGACAGAGAGGACTCTGGGAAGAAGAAAGTCAAAGATGTCAGGAGACACAGAGCAAGCAGGATGTGCAGGAGGAGCGGTGACAGCCACAAGGCACATGGAAGAATGTAGATTGATATCCGTGGGTTAATAAGAACTAGTTGAGACAAGCCTAAGTTACAGGCCAAGCTTTCATAATTAGCAAGAAGTCCCTGGTCATTCTGGCAGCCCAAAAGAAAATCTGACTACAGACATCCATGTGCCTCTGTTTCATGAGTGCTGGGGTTAAAGTCACATGCCAGAAATTAGCTCTAGAATTATTGTACAGGAATACAAACACCTCATCACTTTCTTAATTCTCCTTCTCAGACAAAAGCACAATACATTTTCATAACCTGCAAGCATTCTTCAGAGTTTTCTATTATATGCTATTTGAATCCCTGAGATACCTAAATAATGTTTGGTATGTTTGTGTGTGTGTTCTGTAAGCTTTTGCACACAACAATCTAGCTTTCTAGGACTGTATACATTCTCTACTCCTAGTGTGCTTTTAGTTGACAAATCTATGATTGACTCTCATAAGAATAAGGATTAGTCAACAACAATAGGAACTTGAAAAAGCATAAGAAAAAATACCCATTTGTGTCATCTTTGTTTATACTAGAAACCTCATCAAATCTTGTATAAACATTTTCTACTTCAGATACTTTAATCCCAGAAATGATAACATCCTTCCAACTACTGGAATATCCTCCAACATATTTATATGTTTCCATACGTTTATTAATCAGAGTCCAAGCAAAGCATATTCTGTAGCTAAACAGATGGAATTTAATCTAGAGACTATTCAACGTGGCTTTGTGTTTTGGAAAATAAACTAAACAAAAAGAATATTGCCAAAGAACAAAAGTACTTTCAGAAGGTATCTACCAACCCTAAGTCTGAAGTAAATAAAAAAACAAGTAGTCAGAGTTACTGAAATATAAGTGTTTAGAGAGGGTAAAGCCTGTGTCAGATCCATGAGGAAATGCATTATTTTGACATGGGATCCTGTGAGGTAGACTCTTCCACCCCTGGCTTTATCAGTTTCCCAGAGTCATTCTAGAGGTATGATGAGGGACTGACAATAAGCCAGGATGTGAAATTAACCACTGCTTTTGGAGTAAAGCAACATTGCTAGTCCAGTACCTACAGAAAAGCAACATTAGAAGCAACACAGAACAGTAAGTATCTCCCTTGTCCTTAAGCTTTCTAATTTCTACTTTGACTGTTCTGGAAAAACCTACCTCAGTTCTGGCAGACCAAGAAAATATGAGAGTTTGAAGAATTTTAGTGCTAGTATCACAGAACAGGGAAGAAAAGGTGATACTTAAGAAGATTAAGTAACAGTTTACAACTGTGACAGTGTACTATGATACCTTATGTAGTTTATCAAAATAATACTTGTCTTCCTTTAGAGAATGATCACTAACTTATACATATGTGCCAAGGCAAAACAAAACAAAAGCCAAGGTGCTCATGTCTGTCTTATTCTGAAACTGGCCAGACAGGCAGAACCACTCGGGCCTTAGCCAAATACTCTATGTGAGGCTAATGCTTGTGTTCATCTAGAGCTGGAAGATTACAGAGCAACAACGATGTGAATGAAAGTAGGTTTGACAGAAGAAAACTTAAACAAGCTGCAACCTGCAAGAAGCAGCTTGGAGCCAAGAAGTGGCACTGAATAGTAATAAACTTTCAGTATTTTCCAGCTTCTAACTTTGGTCATTGGAAAATACTGAAAGAGAAGCTAACATTGAACTCACTGCAAAAAAAAAAAAAAAAAAAAAAACACGTCTTTGATGAGGATTGAGTATTGCACTTTCTGTGGGTATAAACATAAGTAGTTAGGGAGCAGTTTAATACTATGTCCATATGGTAGAATAATAATAGTAGGTTCTCCTCTAGGGAATATGATCTATCCATCCATGGATAACTCTGATTTTTAGGTTCCAAATAATGAAAAATTGGAATGTTGTTTTTTTAGATTGTCATGTCAGTCTAAAGACTATGGAATTCAGGTTCAAGATAGAGACAGAAGTGAGAGGTCACCTTCCTTCTCATACCAGATGTGGATGTGTGTTCTGTTTCTTTCAGTTATATATTCAGTGTTGTTTTATCCTCAGATTCTAAGACTTCTAAAACTCAGCCTCTGCCAGCAACATGTTTTCTAATTTTCCTTTAGAAACTCGTCACGATGCTTTCTGCTTTCTGTCTATAGCCACAGCACCTCCCACAGCACATGAAATGGGAACGGTGTACAGAAAATACTTATGAAATGGAAAACAATTACCACCAGTTTAGGGATGGGATATATATATATATATATATATATATATATATATATATATATATATCCGGTAAAAACAAACAAATAAATAAATAAATAAAGATAGATAGATAGATAAATAGGTAGGTAGGTAGATAGATAGATAGATAGATGGATAGATTGATCTACAGTACTAAATATACTGGAGATTAGACTACATGAAAATAGGGAAGAATTTAAATGTCTTTTTATGACTGTAGCTCAATCTGTTTAATCCTAACAACAAAATATTAGAAACAGATCATTAGACACATGGGTTCCCAAATGCTTTTAAGGTGTTAATTATTGGTCAGGACTTCTAGAACAATAAAAGGAGTACTGACCTCACCCAGATGTGGTGGTATTTTATTTGTGCTTTAATAAATAAAGCTTGCCTAGAGATCAGAAGAAAAAGCCAGCCACACCACAGAAGTCAGGCAATGATAGCACATGCCTTTAATCCTATCACTTGGCAGGCAGGATCTCTGTGTGTTCAAGGTCAAATTCGAAACAGGTGTGGTGGCACAGGTCTTAGATTCCAAAATTAGTTAACCATGGAGGTCTGGAGGTCTGTACAGACAGACAGGAAGTGACAGAGCTGTGTAGGAAGAGGAAGTGATGTAGCTGAACAGAGAGAGCAAATCAGATAGCAGAACAGCAAGGCTTACAGACATGGGTAGACAAGAAGTAACTCGCATTTGGAAGCTGCAGAGTTGATGAGGTAAGGTTGGCTGGTGGCTTTCCCTATTTCCCTGATCTCTCCCAGGCTTTTACCCATATATTTGGCTCTGTGTTTTTTATTTAATAAGACAATTTAGAAATTTGTCTACACCTAGAAGCTAACTATGAATCTTGCATAGAAATAGAAACTCAAGAAAAAAAATTGTATATGAAAAATCTGTGAGTCTCATGGTCCTCCAAATCAACCAGGTGAGTAGCAACAAGCTACTCTGTAAAGTGGCTCATGTCCCTCATCAACTTTATTTAAGAACAGCATAGACACTACTCCATTTCTATCTTTCAAACCTCATGAAAAATGCCATGCATGATTAAAACTAACCTGAGGCTATGTAAAGTCATGAATGATGAGACCATTTGTTCTAGTTTAATTATGTTGAGTAGATGAAAATCTAAAATAATGCCTTGTATATACTTCATTATACACACACACACACACACACACACACACACACACATA